GGGGGCCACAATGGCCAATGGGGTACGAAGAACATGGAAGATAAAGTTCAAAGAGGCATGTACTTGAAGGATTTCACGATGTAGGACAGCCTGAGCCACCATAAATAGGGATGCCCTCCATCGGTGCCAAGCCAGTGGGAGAGGTGGACATGGGAGGGGGAGAACTCATCACTCTGAAAAACTACGGCGCCGACAGACTCCAATGAGCCTATATAGACGAACTTGGGCCGCTACGGCCACGTACGCCGTGCCAAAATGGCTGGCTGCTCAGACCGCTGCGGTCACGTAAACGCATGAGCCAGCTTGGAATTCCAAAGATGAGACATGTTCAAATTGCTTTCGGCCTAGGCCACCTACGCCCGCTCTGGGCGCGTACATCTCCGGGCAGGGGAGATAAAGACAAACCCCCGTTCGACGGGTCCACTCTACGGGCTCATCCCGGACTCTCGCTAGGAGAGACACACTTATGGATATGCGTACTGACTTGACAGCGGTGCCACACGCCGGCCTAGGGTACCAGTTCCTAAGAGTACCAGTAAGAACCATCGGATCCTGGAGGTCTGCAAGAGGAAGTGAGGCCAAAAACTCAAGACCGAGTACGGCAATCAGGTCGAAGTGACGGCGTGTCGTGCATGTCTGCAGAAAGCCACTAGCCCTTTACGGAAACTTAAAGGTCGGCCGAACGAGCGACAGGATGACGGCGAAACGTGCATTAGCCCTTTATGAAGTACCTGAAAACCTGAACACCTCCTGGAACAACATCAGGTACATGAACCACCATGAAACAAACCAAGGGACCACAGCAACCAATCAACAGTTTAACTACAGCAGGTACGTTTACACCTCAAAGGACACATCAAAGCAAACCAATGAGAGCACACATGAGACCACAGATATGAGATGGTAAGAACAGATATGAGTCAAATTGCATGACAGCACACAAAAAAGAAGCACACAGGGCAGGACGCACGCATCAGAGCACACATCTGTAAGCACACATACGTGAGTAAGTACGCATCGAGAGCTCGCGGGTCAGAGCACACATATGAAAACAATCACATGAGTAAAATATAGTATACGAGAGCACGGGCAAAAGGGCACACATGCGCGAGCAAACCAATGAGACCATGAGCAAGCACACATATGAGAGCACACTTCTGAGAGCACATACAAAAGAGCACACTTCTGAGAGCACACAATGAGAGCGTGGATATGGGAGCACACATCTGATAGGTTTACACACCACTGCGCAAACCTACACTTCTCGGTTCACAAAGCGCTGCCCCCACAGAAATCTACACTTTGAGGTCGCGTGCCACCAAATCTGCACTTCGAGGTTCACAAAGCACGAAATCTGCGCCCGCAGGTCAACAAACAAAAGCGCTGCACATGCGACAAGGTCTGCACTTCAAGGTTCACAAAGCCATCTGCCTTCAAATCTGCACACTGTGCAGCCCTGCCAGTGCGCTTCGCAACAAGGCACTTCCAAGACAAGGTCGAGATGTCAAGCGCAGTTTTCGTACGATACTTCCTCCACGTTGACAGGCCACGTATCCCAAGCTCACTACCACGAAATCAGAGCACGCCAAAGACCAGCACCTTTTCCAAAGCGCTGCGCCTGCCACGAAATCTGCACATCGAAGTAAATCCTCCAAAAGAATTCCTGCCCCTACCGCGAACACTCGACTTCAGACCTCAAAAGCTCAAAAGCACGAGGCCCCCCTTATGTCTACCACGAAAAATAATCACCAAGCCCGAAAGTTTGCACGGCACCCGCTTGGGCCCAGCAGGTTGCGAGCCTGCACAATCGAAATGCACTTCGAAGATCTCGAGAGGCATGAATGTACCGTAAATAGCAGCGAATTTGCCATCGCCGCCGCCCTTAAGCACCCTTGATCAAACCCAGCCTTACTCACTACCGTAGAAGAAACCCTAGTGGTGTGACCACACTGTTTGGGGAATAAAGTGTGACTGTGGCACGTCAAAAAAGGCTTTCTAACACGCGCTTTATGCTCGCCTTAAGGCATCAAGCAGTCTTGATCGTGGCGATGGAGCAACTTCCTCCACCGCAGCAGGGAGTGGTCCGGACAGTGCAGACCTAAAGCAGGCGGTGCACCAACTCTCTACCAGTTCTCAAGCAGTGTCATTAGAGAAGTCTTTTAGAACTCTGATCCGAGAGACGTCTGACATGTAGACAACACAGGAGCTGCATCCTGGCGCAAAGGCCGACACAGAAGCTGTTGGCCAAGCAAAGAACCTGGGAGCCCTTTCTCTGTGACACACCATGAGATCGTTCCACTCTCCAAGACTAGCAAGCAAAGCAACACGTTAGTGCCTCAACCTTGGAAAGGAGTGCTTTCTGCTCTGGAAGCTCTGAATACTCCTTGCATGAGCCAAGCTCCCAATGACATAAGTATTTGCCTTACCTCAAGAGAAGTGTTTCTAGCAAACAGAATAGTTCACTTCAAGAACTCATTGATCTGGCTCAACTAAATCCCATCGCATAATGTATTCTCGTGTCCTCTTCTGACTCGCTGTCGATGATCGGTGGCTCATTTCGCACAAGAATTGAGGGCCTTCGACGAAAGAGCTTAAACGGACAGAAAAGCGGAGAAGGTCACAAGAATGTTGTCAAAAACTGCAGGGGTCTGAGTTGCGGCGCCTTGCGTGTGCTCCCAAGTCTTCATGATCCTCAATGACCTGCTCAAATGAATTGTCGCCGTCTTCGAACAATTATTCTTCCAACACAAACTGGACCCAATTGCACATTCCCAACCTTGACCTGTGGTAATGTCAAGTCAGCATGTGCCACATATGGCATCACCGCCCATCGAAGCGGCTTGTCTTGAACGAGCGTCGAGTTGTTAAATTCTGACGTGAGCAAATGTTATACATGGATCTTCCTCACGCGCTTGTTGCTGTGGTTGGCATGCAAACAAGCAACACTCAAAAGCCTTCTGCGTGGAATGTCAGGCAAACAGGCAAACGGCCAAATGACATTTGACCACTTCACTTTGCGGTCATGCTTCTCTCGTTATTGAGAAAGCTATGAAAGCCAAGAGCTCATTGCCCATCAAACTACATGAGTGAAGATACATACCGGTTACCACAAATTGAGATAAATCCGTCTCACCATTGAAAGCATAATTGTGTGAAAAATATGAAGGGTGGTGCAGGGCGATCATGAAATGCAGAATCTATAATCTATGTGCTTGTTTTGGCAAAATAGATGCGGAACAATAAAGTAGCAACAGAACCTGTCATCAGGAGGGCGCAGTGCATGATGGAATTGCCCACTGCTACGGCAACTTTGTGGATGGTGCTTGAGGCTTGTGCGCAGTGCAAGCTTCCGATAGGCACTCCGGACCTTAACAGTGAAGCACAAGACCCTGTGATATAACACACAAAGGCTCCACCTGCTTCAGGTCCAGTGAACTTCCTTGCTCAACTTGAAGAACCTGCAAAGGCTTGGAGGTGCCAACCACGGGTTTGAAGTGGTGTGGTGAAGAGTAGTCACTTGTTGCCCTGCTACTTCAAGAACAAAGATAGAAAAGAAGAACTTCCCAATTCGATAGACCTCGAAAGAAGATCGCGCCGCCAGAATGCGGGCTGCCTCATCCACATGAAAGAATCCACTCACCAAGACTGTTTCACCACCATGCTACAAATGCACACCCTCTGTTGCCAAATATCTCGAACTGCAACACGTGTGGCATCACCCAAAGCCAATCAATTACATTTGCCTCGATTGCAGATTCCTCATCGCACTGACCAATTTCAATCCAGTATCTTTTCGTTCAACAATTTTTGTGTGAGTAAAAGAATCTATTCATGTCCTGCATATCCCTAGACCCTAGATGTTAATCCGCCTCGTCCACGCCCTCAATGCTGCTATACACAAGCCTGTCGAAAGAATTCATCATTGGAAATCGTTGGTCCCTCGTCTTTTCATTAATATACAGTACCTCCATTTGTCGGTTGGGTCTAGGAAAGGTCTGGGTGTCCAACCCATCCCGGAAAATGCCATGGGCCTCACTGACACGCCTCAGTGGAGAAAAAGACTCTTGTGTCTTTCTTCAGCCCATATCTGCCATGTGTGGTGATGCCAAACCACTTCTCTTTACGCGGAAGCTTACAACATCTTACAACCGTGCACCGTGCTGATTCCCCAAACACAACTCGCCTTGTCACGTGGTCAATTCTATTGGACCTTCGCGTGAAGAGTTGTCCTCGTGGTCGTTTCATGATCCATTGCGTGGCAAGCGCTGCACTTTCGCTGTCCTGGGTCGTGGCTGCTTCGCAACTGCGTTCTCGTTGTGGCGCAGTGCACATTCTCCAGAGGGTATGTGTGCTCTCACGTGTTCGCTACAAATGGGTTCTCTTCGGTGTGTCTGTCTGTGTATGCTCCAAGCTCAGCGCCCTTACGCGTGTGATCTCATTTGCGCGCTGTTGCGTGTGTGCGTGTAACCTTTGGAGTCACAAGGTTCCTTTTGGATTGTTTCCCTTTAACAGCAGGGGGCGTGACGGTCGATTTCCTAGTCACGCCAATGAAGCTATGGAAATCGACTGGATGGAAGTTTGGACGCAAACTTCCGTACCTGCTGTTAAACGTTAAAACAGCTGCTCGCTGTCACTTTTGTTTTGTTTTGCTTGCGCATACCACCTACCACCTACTGGCGACGGCCTCCAACCTTAGGCGTTGGCCTCCAACTTCCCTGCAATGGCATAATGGCCTCCAACCTTAAAGCGATGGCCTTTAACTTACTACTTGTCACTTTTGTTTTGCTTGCGCATAC